GGTGGTTCGAACCTACCAGCTACTCCACAGGAGAAAGATGTGGCAATCTGCTTCCGTAAAGACTGCAATCTTGTAAACCCTGTGGGGCAGTTCTACTCTATCCTAGAGGTTACTACGTGTCAGAATCAACTCCACAGCAATGGGTAGTGGTGGATGTAGGCTAAAAAAGGCAAGCACAAGGTCAATTATACCATCTAGGACCTCAGCCCTGTTCCCACTATGATTTCCAGACCCTTTTCCACTACCCTGCAATGTTGTCACTATAGAAGGAATTTCCTTTTGGGTGCAACCAAATGACTGAGCTAGCTCTCCTTTGAGGGCATAAGGGAACGAACCATTGAATTCTAAAACCTACACTCCCCCAAACCAGGACCTTCTGGGATTGGTCCTGGGTTTCATGTTGTTAGCACAGGGGATAGATGGAAGGAGAAGCTCTTGAAGCAGCTACAAAATTCCCCAGTCTATTTTCCTTTTTCTATAGTCTGCCTGCTTTGGTTCTTGCTGTCACTTGCGTACCTCTCTCCTGGTACCTCCTCAGCTTAGGCAAAGGAATTTTACTAAACAATCAAATAAATTGTAAAAAAAAAAAAAAAAGGAACTATATCACAGAAAACGCAGGCAACAAGATTTAGTCCCTTAGCCAAAGCTTGGTCTCTGGTTTCAGATTAATGACATTCTAGACCCCCAAGCTGGACCGACTCTTTGTGACTGGTTCCGACTTATTTGTTTATGTATTTTTGATGCATAAAAGCAACATCCCTAAGTTGTGACAAAAGCCAACTCTCCAGCTCATTTACACCCTTCTTGCAGCATTCACTTATGTTCAGCTAAATGGTGGAACCCTGGAGATTGATACACAGAACGTCTTTACCCTTCAGGCAATCCCTTACACATGGTTTTTTAATCCCAACAGCCATGCAAAGGAAATTTTACCTGTGAGAAGGCTGGATTTGCTTTGGGATTTCTGGAATGATCTGAGAGACACCTTCTTTAGTGACGAGGATGGGGTGAAGAGAGAGAAGGGAACTAGTAAGTGTGAAGCTCTTAACATCTGCCAAACACTTTATATTTTAATTTTTACCATAAGCCTTTGAGGTAGGTATCAATCACTAGTCATGTTTTGTAGAGCTTGAGGCATGAAGGGGTTAAGTAACATGTTCAAGGTCTGATAGTTATAGCCAAGCCAGGAGTGAAGTTTAGGCTGGTTGATGACAAGCCTGTGATCCAAACAATGAGGCCTCAGAAGGGAAAGGTGTCTTTCCTTTCTTTGAAGTGCAGGCTTTTCCACCCTTTGTTGCCTGGTTAGAGGGTTTCTTTCAATTTACAAACATTTGCTGCATTCCCTATGTACATACCTCTAATTAGTATTAGGATACATAATAGTTCCATAGACAAAGTCCTTGCATTCAACTCAGTACCTGGTTGTCTAACTCTGCTGAGCCTCCTCATTCATTGGCAGTTATTCTTTCCGATATCGAGCACCTACTATGGAGAAGACATTTTGACAGGAGCTGGAGTGGAAGAGGCTAAGTACACAGAATCTAGAGAAAAGAAAGGGTGCCAGGTCCTGCCACCATCAGTACTCTTTGCTCCTCTCCCCTAAGGCTCTGAGGTCTTTCCTGGGGGGCTTCTGCATGAAGCTGTTTCTAAGGGGAGGAGACCCGATCATGGGGATGGCACAGGACCAGGCAGCGTTTCCTTCCATTGTGCTGGGGGGTTGCCATGAGTTCTGGGCAACTGGACAACAGCTAACAACAAGGGGAGGAGGTGGGAGTAGATGGGCAGAGTTTTCTTGGTGCCTTTCATACGTTTACTGTGGTTAATACAGTCGTCACAAACACCTGGCAACAAAGCTGAGGAAATGAAACAGGCAGACAAGGAACTAACAAAAATACACACATATTTCGAAGGGGGATAAATTCCTCATTTATTAAAAAAATAACGGTAAGACACCTTAAAGTTAAGTGGGGCTTGCGATCCAGTCCCCCCCACAGTTTATAGTTTCCAGCTGGCTTTTTCACTTGGAGAAACACTTGGTGGTTCATAGAATTCTAGGTCAGAAGAAAAGACTGAGTTATAATCCCAATACTGCTGCCAGTTTAGTATATGACTCCAGGTGAATTATTCAACCTATTTATGTGTCAGCTCAGAAATGGGGAGAGCGATGTGATATTCCCAATATGTTTTTGGTGGGATTTCCAGTAAAAGAATTATGATAAACAACAGATAAGTAATGTGCATAATTGAACACTTTGCTTTCTTCTCTGGGTCAGAAGAACTGACACAGGCTCACATTTGACACATGGCATAAAACCCTTGGGAATCTGAGACTTTCTGGGGTTAATGAAGAAAAGCAACCTACACCTGTTATTTGCATAGTGCTCCCTGGTTTACAAAGCCTTTTCAGATATCATTACAGCTGATCCCTACAGCACTCTGTGAAGTGGAATTAAGGTCCCCATTTTATAGATGACAAAACTTACGTCATGCAATCTATGTCATTTAGGCAAAGGCGCATTTGTTTTTTTAACTTGCCTCAGCTATCCAGAAGATAATTTTGTTCACCTCAGTGATTGTGATGAGTGGCCATCACGAACGCTATCTCCAACACCAGACAAACAAAACACAACTTTCTTTTCTTTTCTTAGGGACACTTTCTACCACTGCACAGACTCCAAACCCAGAGTCAGCAACACATAGCTATCTATTGCCAGAAACTCCAAACAACCCACAACAGTAAGGGATCATCTACATGTTTGTTATACAACAATGTCTGAGAATCATTTGGAATGGATTGCCTTCTCTAAAGAAAGTTGTTTGTGTTGGTTTGGGGGACAGCCAGCTAAGATTCAACCCTATTTGTCTTTTGTTTCTGTGAAAGTAGGAAGACTGTGAAAACGGGTTGTTTAGAGAATCAGCATAGGAGAATAATAAACATTTTAAAGCTGTAGGTAGGTACATGCAGTTACTGTCCATTAACAGCAAGCTGACTGACACTATCTCCTGCTTTTGGGGGTGGGGGCGGAGGTGATGGTGAACTGTAGGGCTGTGTTTCTATATGGACAAAGCAAGCCCCCTCCCGCAACAGTTCTCTTCTCCACCAAGGCACACACAGAATTTGGGGCCTCCGTAAAAGGCAGGGCCCCAGGTGCAGGGTAGTGGGTTCAGTTCAACCCAGTTTCGCGGGCTTTGGAGGAACGCTTACAGACCGGCCAGTGCAATTGAGGCGTATTTGGAACTTAGCTAGTTTTTCTAGCTCCATCCACAGCTTGGTACCTGTGACTGGGTTAGCTGGAAGCATCTGGGGTCCTCCTGGCCTCAAGGCCTGTGCGGCTCCAGGCCCTGCCACATTATCACCACCACGTGGAAGGCACCCTGCTGAGTGCATTATTTGCATCCAAGTGTTTGCACCGAGACTGGCGCTCACGTGCAGGAGGTCACACTTGCAACCGGGCACACATGCTGGGACTCCCCAGGGCCAGGAACAGGGTTAGGTGGCAGAGTACCCTGGGTGGAGCCGGAGCCGCTCAGGAGAGGCGGTGTCGCTGCCCCGACGCCAATTCCCTAATAGCTCTGCTCCTACATTTTGAACCCAGGCCTCTGCTCCAGCCAGGACCCTTGCCCTGGGACCCTCCACCTCCCCGCAGCGCTCCGACCTCGCCAGGCCTCCCCCAACCGGGCCCACCCGGCGTCGCTAGCGGGGCGCTGGGGGCGGGCACCTGCCCCCACCCCTCGGC